TTAATGACACAGTAGAAAATACAACAGGCGGGTATGCTCGCCAAGCTGCGGTGGGGGGGGGGGGGGGGGGGGGAGTTTAAGCATGGGACTTAAGGATTTCAATCAGCGCTTAGATTTCGCTTCAGTTGAAAATTGAGGAGTGGGCATAGCATTCGAACATAGATTTTATCTCAATCACGAATTACTGCAACTTTGAAATCATGTTGCACTAAGAAGAAATTTTGATCTCTAACTCCTATCATTTCTTATGAATCGATGGTTCGGGATTGTTATCTACCTTCACGAGTTCATCTTATGAGTTAGGGATTTGACTAGTTTAAGATTGACACCAAACTAGAATCTGAAGTTGACGCCATGTCAGGATCCAACGTTCGTTCATGAGTGCATAGGAACGGTAATAGTTACATAATGCTTCATTTTGAAAACATGCATTGTAGATAAAGAGGACAAGCTTGGATTCATGTGAGGTAAAAGGAAACTGCTTTTTACTGCGTCAAAATTAGAGTATGACACGTTTAAGCAAGAAACTAAAGTATTTTCTAAGAGATAGCACTCAAATATAATATCAAATTTTTTTGTAATGATAGAAGTATTCTCATGTATACAAAGCATCAGATACAAGAAAATATTTTTCAAAAGTGATGGGTAATGTTTTCCAAAGTACGAAAACATAAGTTACTTTATCTCCCATTCTTCTATTGTTTTTTAGCTCCTATCAATATCTCTTCCGATTACAAGTGGTCACCGAGTGCTGCTACTGTGGCTGGCAATTCTGAATGTGGTCCTGACCTTGCACGACTCCACCGCCCATCCAGCGTTTGCATTGATGATAGAGGAGGTATTTTTGTTGCTGATCAACACAATCACCGCATTGTAAAATGGATGCCTCATGGAAAACGTGGCAAATTAGTGGGTACAGGTAAAGGTATAGGCAATGGACAGATGGAGTTGAATTGCCCTACAGATGTCATATTCGACAGCGAAACAGATAGTCTTATAATTTCTGACTATGGTCATAAACGAGTAGTACAATGCTCTTTTGGAAACAATGAATGTATGACAACGGTGATTCAGGACATCAAGTGTAGAGAATTAGCGATGGATTACCAACGACGGCTCTATGTCACAAACGAAGAAAACCATGAAGTGAAACAATTTGTACTCGTACAAAAGAGTGATAAAATTAAGGCGAAAGACAATGGAAAAGTAGTAGCGGGTGGCCATGGACAAGGGAATGGTCTTAATCAACTGAATCATCCACAATGTGTCTTTGTTGATGAGTATCTTCAGGTTTATGTGTCAGACTCAGATAATCATCGCGTAATGAAATGGAAAGAGGATGCACAAGTAGGAGAAGTTGTAGCTGGTGGCAATGGAGAAGGAAGTGCTTTAACGCAGTTGAAGATTCCTAGTGGTCTATTCGTCGATTCTTTAGGTAATTTATATGTGGTAGATAATGGAAACGAACGAGTTATGCGTTGGTGTAGAGGAATGTCGTCAGTATCTGTGGTTGCCGGTGGAAACGGCCCCGGAGTAAAAAACCATCAGCTGAACACACCTGAGGGTATCACGTTCGATCGGCATGGGTATTTATATGTAGCTGATACTGGAAACCATCGAATACTAAGATATAGTACTGAAATATCATATGGCAGTTAGAAGACTGACTGAAACTTCAATAAGATGCTTTCATTCGGAAACTCCTAATTGCTTTTCTATATTTGAATTACATATTTCTCTATGTATGCAAAACATTAAAATATATACAAGATGAGCGGAAAGTAGTACAAGGAAGATTTTTTCTTAAGCTTTTCTTTGTAAATTGTCACTTATTCTGATATTAGTATTATTTATAATGGGTGTTAGAATTCAGGAATGCGACTAAAGATCAATATTGATACATGGTAATGTAACGTCACAACAGTTAGCACCAGATTCGATATTTCCTGTCCCGATTCGACTGGGTATCTGTGCTATTGTTTTAATCAGTTGTGCTAGATGCAGAATTTCATGCTGAATCCCATGGTGTCGATTTCAAGGGGGCTTGTTTGTCAAAACCTGGGAATTGCCTAGCAAAGACGCATCCCGACCCCCTTTTTCAGGAATACATGTGGTCCGGATTCTATTATGTGTCTGTGCTATAGTTTTAATCGAGTGTGCTAGATGCAGAAGTTTATGGTGAATCCAATGGTGCTAATTTCAGAGGGGGGAGGGGTTCTTTGCCAAAAACTCGGGGTTGCCTAGGAGAAACGCTTTCCGATCCCTT